ATTTTTTTTAACACACTTACTTTAGTTCAATTGTGCCTTTCTACTTTTTATTCAACGTTGCTCATTTGATCTTCTAATCCTATTCCAGCTTTATTATACTTTAACTATTTCTCTTTCATTAACTTGAATCACTTCTCTATTGCAACTATTCTCATTGTAAAACTCTGCCTTTCTTTAAGTTAAGTGATATTTATTTCTGACAGTAATTAAAATCCGAAAAAGGGCGATAGTTTATAGTAGTAAAAGTATTTAACTGCTATATGATCAACTTACGATCAAATATGATAATTGAATTAACATGCATAAATTAATAAGAGGGGGAAAAAATCCAACAAAGTCCATTGGGCCTTTTTGTAAATATATGTATATATGTATTTCAGTAACACCTACAATACTGCTATACACAGCAATTGTCTTATTAGAATGCATGGACTCCAGATTTAAACTTTAAAATAAAAGAATTCTATGCAGAATTGTTGACATCATATGTGAGTCAATGTAGTTCTGAAAACACTACGCCGAAGATGATCTCCACACAATCTATATGGAAACAGATAGAGTGATAAAAATAAAGCTCAATGGACTTTAATACTTGAGACATAAAGCTAATATGATAGAAGCGGAGAATTCTTTATGGCACATTATAATGTTGACGATAATAAGATAGACCCCACCAGCGTAGAAAATATGGTATAGAGGATCAAAGTCTTGAGATCCCTCACTGGATGACATCTGTTCGCATTCTGGATGGGTGAAGAGATTTAAAACCAACAAAAATTTGGGTTTGATAATATATTGAAAAATCTGTTCATAATTTTATAGTTATTAATATTAAAAAATTTTAAATCGGTTTAAATGATTATAATAGGATCACCTCTTGAATGTTTAACCCGCTTCGAATCACTTTTCTATGTCAGAAATTGTAATAATTTTGTTAGAGGTATTTGGATCTTTCTCTTCATCTTCAACTTTACAGTTAATTGAATTATTATTCACGTCTTCCTTGCTACTTAATAATATGGAGATGTAGAAATCTTAATAATTAACTGATATAATTTATAATTTTTCTTTCTATTTCGGAGAGGCAAAAATAAATTATTACACTTTGAGACTACAATAGAAAATTTTCATTTATTCATTTTCATTTTTATGTTAACTATATAAATATTTATTGTGAATGATCTATCTTGTTACCTAAAATTATAAGTATGTACAATATAACATTGAAGATTTTATACAATAGTTTATTATATTTTCATATCGAAAAACTGGACCTCATACGATTGCATTCAGTGTGAAGAGATGACCTATTGCAACTTTCCAAAAGCTTCAACTTAAGTTGCAGACATTACAAAGTCTTATGCTACATATAAGAATTGACAATTATATCTAATAAGTATTAATAATAATTACAGATATTTAAGTTGTTCTCATTTACAAATGCGTAAACATTTTCATTATTCAACTTCCTATATATGACTTTGAGGAAAGTCAACGAAATCTCATCAAGGGTTTAGATGAGACACGTCGTCACTGCCAATGCGAACTTTTTCTTGTTTTGAGTTTTCGCTTTTTTGACCCAAATTCGGAAACCAAACCTAAA